TATATTTATTTTTTAATGTATTTATTCTGCAGTCAGCATTATAACAGTGACAGCATGATTTAAAACTCCAACTCTTCTTAAATTAGGCTGGTTACTGTTCTTGGTGGATAGGACTTTACATGGTTTGTTCAACTAACGTTATTCGAGGTCTAAACAAAGACAATGCTGAATTGCGTTCATTTGGGTACAAAATACATTATTAAAACTTGTGAGAGTTTGGTTGTTTCTGAATTTTTTCAGTCGATATGCAGAGATCTCATCAAGGGCACATTTTTGAAAGCAAAGAGTAACGTGGGCCCTACCAGGATTCACCTGGTATGGTTCAATGCAGATAGCTTTTGCATCAGAAGGACCTGAGCCTGAGGCCTGGCTCAGCTACGGGCCAGCTGTGTGACGGGGCAAGTTACCGAGCTTCTCTGAGCTTCAGTAGTAACATTTGCCTCTCAGGACTGTGCATGGCTGGAACTCACAACGTGGTCATGATTATCATCACTAGCATCCCAGATCTGTTTTTGAAGGTGGGATGTATGTGCAGAAAGAGTCGAGGTCAGACCTAATCCTGAATGATAATGTGTCCTGGTGCAGATTATGGGCTCTGCAGTTAACAGTGAGCTCACATGGATAGACGTGAATTCACAGCAGCCTGTGCTGTACTTCATTTGTCAGAATAACCAATAAAGCCCAGNGACGTGAATTCACAGCAGCCTGTGCTGTACTTCATTTGTCAGAATAACCAATAAAGCCCAGATGATTTTCCTCCCAAATTTCTGAAAATACTTTTAAAAAAAGGCAAAAGACAGGTTAGTTCTCTCTCACTCCCTCCGCCTTCTCCTGCACACCCACTCAGTCTAGGTTCCCAGGGCTGCAGAGGCGGCGTTTCAGCGAGCTGTCCGCTGTGCCTCCAAGACGCAGTGCCTTCCTCGAGGACCCCGACGCCCAGGGCTGCGGGGCTCAGCTGAGAATCAGCCTCACACAAACACGAGCGCTCCTGCCCCTTCTCTCCTTGTCGCCTGGCGTCAGCCATAGTGGCCCTCCCAGATGAGCGGGACCAGCCCAGAGCACACCCCTCACCGTGAGCTCAGACATGCGACTGTGTTCAGTGTTTCAACATTTACATTTTATAAATTCCTTGAGCTAAAACAAAATGTGCATAGAGATCACCCAGTCAAATACCTTTAGTTTGGTTTGAGGTTCCAGGAAAAACACACACACACACACACACACACACACGCACACACACACACACATGCACACACACACACATGCACACACACACATGCACACACACACCCACACGCACACACACACACATGCACACACACACATGCACACACACATGCACACACACCCACACGCACACACACACATGCACACACACACACACGCATACACACACACCCACACGCACACACACACACATGCACACACACGTGCGCGCACACGCACACACACACAGTGGTATTTCAGCAAATGAGAACTGTTTGTTCCAGTTTTGGTTCTGAGTCTAGTTGCTGTTCTAGGCCTTCCTAATTGAGTCTAAGACACGTGTTCTCACCTCCTCCACTTGGCATAACTCCGGCTCTGACTTCGGTTTTGGTAACAGAGACATCTTGGCAGGATGTTCTCGATGGCCCTCTGTGTGAGCCCTTCCTATGCTGTGTCACAGTACCTAAGATCTGGAAGCTTCCCCAGAAACCCCGCAGTCGCCTAAAACCTGGTTTCTGCCTCATGAATCAACGAAACGGATGATGGTTTCAGGTCAGAGCTGGAATAAAGAAAGACGGCAATAGAAAAGTATCCTCTCTGAGGTAAAGCTGGATATAAACAGTTGCTATTTTAATTTTGTGTTGGCATTCTCGCAATGCCGCATGTCATTTTCCAAGGCAAACAGGAAAAGATCTCTTCTTCTTCCCCAGGCAACGGCAAGGGCAGCATGGAGCGACACGGTTTTCTCTCCGGGGTCCATTTCTCTTCTCGCCCTTCTCCGAAACGCAGGGACTCCGTCTGCTCAGTGCCCCTCTCGGCTGTGCCGCATCTGCTTCTCCTGCAGGCGGGGCCAGGGCAGCCTCCCCACCCCACATCCTTACACATCTGTCACCCCCAATCTGAGCATGTCACTCGCCTGTTTAAAATCACTCAGCAGCTCCCCACTGCCTTTAGGATGAGCTGCCGCTCCACCCAGACGCACAGCAGGCCATCTGTCCTGGCCCAGCCCGAGCCGAGCCCTCCCACCCCACCCCGGCCTGGCCTGTCCCTCCTGCCTGGCGCACAGCTCGGCCAAGCGGGCCACCCGCAACTGTCTGCGTTCATGCTCTTTCTCTGCCTGACATTCCCTCCTCTCCCCTTCGCTCCCCCATACCCCCACCCTCCGCCTGGCTCACTGCCACCCATGGGGCGTCCATGCTGAGCTGGCGGCACCTACATGAGAAGTCTCTCCTGATCCCCTTCCCACCAGCTAAACCAGGGCACTGTCCTCAGGGCTCTTCTCTAAAGGTCCTGACCCCCAGGGCTCCTCTGCTGTGCCCAGGACCACACTCCTCCTGCTGTGGTGGTGGAGCTGAGCTCCCTCAGCCAAAGACTCCTGCAGTCTGTTGTCACCCCCTCCCCAGTGTGGTGGGGGAAGCACGGGCCCATGTCCATGGTCTCTGTCTCTCTTTCTTATAGGCAGTACGCAGGGGAAATTCATTTGCTTTGCAACAGCACCTCTCTCTCTCTTTCTTTTTCTCTCTGTCACACACACGTG